TGTGCTGCTGGTGTGTCTGGTTCCTCCCCAGAAGAGGCCCTTACTCTGCTTTCTTTAACACTCTGCCTGCTCCAAATTGGTCCTTTCTATTTACCCCATCCTTTGGATGTGTTGTGGGAAGGGAGAGAAAGGATAGTCTGGTGCTTAAAGCTTGATTGGTAATGTGGGATGCCTGGATGCAGATTCATGCCCACTCACACTTCTGTCCTCACCACCAGATGTTACTGGGAGGATGCCTTGGGGGCTGGCTCTCACTGGGAGTCCTCAGCTGCTAGCGCAGATCCCTTCCAGGTGTTACAGGCAGTGGTGGGAGGGAGGGCTCTGTGCAGCTTGTTAGCTGGCAGATGGTTAAGCATGTGGGCAGTTTCATAAATGCTGCTTACAGGAAACTTGCAGTGCCTGTGAGATCTGTGGCAGCTCTGGGAAAGCCAGAGGTATTCAAGCGGTGAGCTTATTTGTCTAAAAGCCTGGCACACAAGTACTTTTGATGACCTGTGCCTCAGTGCCGGGATGGTTTTTAGACTCCTGCTGCATCTAGATTGCTTCGCCTCAAGTCCCTAGTCCCCCTCGAGTACCAGTTCTTACAGTAAATGGAGCAATATTTAAACACATTTAAAGTCTGGGTGTTCAGCTGTAAGTATCATGATACTAAATTGATGCTAGTGGAAAAGAATAGATTTGTCTCAGTTAATCTCCAGTTCTCAAGGCTTTGCTCTATCATCAGTTGAATTACAGGGAAGACTTCCTCCATGGTCCTGAATTATTTTTTAAACCTAAGCAGTGGATTCTGTTCACAATGATTTTTGCCTTGTTTTGTTGTTTAGCAGGAGTTGTGTTGGGCATTCCTTCTGAAGAGGTTTAATTTTCTATATGAATTAATTAGAAGGGACAGTGTCTCGCAATAAACTGTAATTTGCTTTGAGAATAACTTCTGTCATGGTGCTCCCCAAAGGCTGTTATGCCAGTTTGACAGTGTTTAACTTTCTTAAAATGATGAAAATTCACCCTTCCTGTTCTTTATCATCAAATGATCTCTCAGAAGGAAATGTTTTGAGGGGGAATGAAATGGAGATATAATATGGGTTGGCCCACAAGAGAGAGAAGGCAATGGTAGGCCCAGAAGCAAAAAGAACAACTACATTTGAGAGCCACTGTGAAGCGGAGAAGTAGGACAGTGTAGGAGGAAAACTCACAAAGGACAGAATATTTCCTATGAAATACAAAGCTGCTTTTAAAATTAAAGAGCTCAGATTAAGAAATAACAACTACTATACCAAAGTGAAACTCTTTAAACATACCTTTCGAGATCCGAGGCTAGAGGTTTTTTTTAACACGCATCCAAGATGCTCCACAGAAAGAGATCAGACAAGTTTAAGGTACAAGAGAAAACAGGTTTCTACAAACGGTTAAGGGGCCAGAAACTCAGAGGGACACCCACGTCATCCGAGTCTCTTGTGCTGTAATAATGACGTAGGGGGTGGGTAATAGCCGAACCGAATACAGCTAATGAAATAAGAGTGATCTGGGGAATAATGCCTAAAAACTCACCTTTCATAATGCTGCCGTGCCCGGCCGCGGAAGGAAAGGGCTGGCCTGCCGGAAGAGGCGTTTTCTGGGAAATGTAGTTCACAAATAAATTAAGCCCTAAGCACAAAGACTACAATTCCCATGCCTCAAAGCAGGAAAAAACCCTCGAGTTCCTGACACCTGATAAAGTCAAATTGAAACGCTGAGAGCTTCGCAGCGCTCTCAAGGAAACATGCCAGAATAAAATCAGCTTTGATTTGATACAAACGCAAGTAATAGCTTTGATAAAATCCACTGTAGGTGCTTGTCTGTATAAAAGCATGTGTTTTCGCTGGTACTAACAGGTTTTAGGCTTAAAATGTGACTAAACAAATAAGAGAAGAAAAATCCACTGGGAGCTGTTAAAAACATCTCTTCTAGCTCAGGAATTCCCTGAGATATAAATTGTTGGAGGCTATGGTAGTACACTGTGCTGATACATTTTCCCTGTTCTGACACTCTTCACTCTTCTACACTTGGTCCCAGGAGAGGTGGACCTGTCTGTCAGTCCTGACGTTCATAGTTAAGCACATTTGGGATGACAGGAAAAAGATTTGGGAGAAAGATGTGGAAAGGGCCTGTGGCAACAAGGATGGACAAATGATGGAAAATCTGGTTGGTTGTGCTGCAGTTAGTGTGGCTGAACAAAACCCAAGATGTCAGCATGTGACAAGTGATCTCTGGATGAAAAATGAGAGGGCAGTTGTTTCTTTGATCTGGCTAGACATCTCCCAGAGCATAGTCGGACACCCTAAACCACTTCAGGATTTAATTCTTTGCTGCCAAAGGGCTTGTACCACTTGAGCAGTTCATCAGTTCCTTCCGGGGCTCCGTCTGTCCCCATTTGCCTTGCCCAGTCTGATCACCATGTTGCTGGAGGTGGGTTTCTGCCAGTTTGGTGAGCTGGCTCAGTGAAACAGGGCAGCTGGCAGACGGGGAGCAGGGAGTGGTGGGGTGGAGTGACCACCTCTCCACCGGAATGAGCTTTTGGATTGGTGCAACCCACCTTTGCAGAGCTGCACCAGTTACTCCCACCCCTCAGCACCTCATTAGAGTCAGGGATCTCTTTCAGCATTTTCCAGTTGATGCAGCAGATCTTGTTTCTAGGTGTGGAGGTGGCTACTTGTGACTTCTTCAAGTCCTTGTGTGAACGTGGCCCACAGTACTTTGCGTGCTCTTGGTCCATGCCAGAGCTGACACCACTCAGCTTGTTTCTAACCGCAGGGCTGTGCTGACCTGCTGGCTGCCTATCCCGTGTTCCCTGGCAGGACTCGACTGTGCCTCTCTGCAGGCGCAGAGTCAGTCTCGATAATCATATAATAAACCCTACGAATTGCCTGGCAATAAGGGGTTTGGCTTTTTTCCAAAGGAGTCTTTTTTATTTTTAAGAACAAATAAATAGGAGGAGGTCCAGACTACTGCACACTAGCAGCCTGGTACTGGACGCTCACCTATTTGACACACAATGGGCTCTTTCTCATAATTTGGCCTGCTTTTCAAATGCATTCTCCAAATAGGTCATGCTAATTAGTTCATACCATTGCTGGAATTTTTAATCCATCTTGCCTTTTATTTCAAAGCCCTGAGGATTCTAAGCCCATTATATAGCAGTGTGTAATTTTGCCATTGCAAGGAAGCAGCGCAGCCCCTTGCGTGGTGGTGCCAGCCCTGCTGCCCCCGTGACGGCCGAGCTGCGGGGTGCAACCCCCTTTGGGGCAGTTTCGTGGGTCTTAAACTGTTGAAGGTGTTGGTGAGGCTGTTGGTACCGATTTCGAGTGTTTAAATCCGTTTACACATCGTTGGGTGGTGACTTTGCTTTGGTGCCGCCTGGGTGGCGAGGGCAGCCCGGGCTTGGCAAAC